TTTTTGCGAGCGGTTCACGTGGCCGAAGGGCATGGGGGTCGTCCAGCAGCGCCAGGCCGTCTCCAAGTGGTTTCAAAACTGGCGCACACAAGGTGGACATGGCACGGCGGGCGTGCATGGCCGACGCCGCGCGCGGGGCAACCAAGGGCGCCCGAACAAGGCTCCATGGCTGGAAGCCGCTCTGTACGAGTGGTGGTCCCACATGAGGTACTCCGTGGACTGGAAGGCGGTGGCCAAGCGAACCGCAGTTGCGGAGGAGAGGCCCAAGATGTTGGCCAGGTTCTCCCAATCCCTGCTGGTTACGAAGGCGAAGCAACTCGTCGCGGACTACTGCGTGGAGACAATGAAGCGGGGAGGCAAACCGATGGTGCCGCAGTTGCGGCCTCGGTGGTGGGTGAAGTGGCGGCGCTCCTACGGCCTGAGCATGAAGAAGCCGAACCGCAAGTACAAGGTGCCAAAATGGTTGCTCCAATCTCGTTTTGAGACTATGATCTTGAACGTGGCCAGGGTCCGCGCAGCTGCAGAGGAGCTTCTGGGGTACGACCCGCACATCCTGAACTGGGACCAGTCGCCCTTTCACCACAACGAGTCGTCGTCGGCCTCGAAGCCGACCTTGGCTGTGAAGGGTGGCATTGTCCCGCTTGTCGAGGCGCATGACGACAGCAGGGCTCGGTGGACAGCGAACCTGACGGTGTCGAGCGACGCGGAGGACATCCGCAGTTGCGGACCACCGCCGGCGGAGCTAATGTTCAAGGGGGGATCTGTCATCGCTGAGGGCTTGGCCGCACATGCCCGCAGTCGCGGCTATCCGTCTTGGGTGAGCACGGCGACGTCCGAGAAGGGGTCCTACCGCGCAGACGACGTTGTATCATTCTTGCAGCGGCACTTGCGGGCCTGGCCCGACGACCCGCAGTTGCGGGGAAAGTGGCGCATCCTCATGGCCGACGACCATTCCCCGCACAAAGCAGACGCTGTGCGGAGACTCGCCTGGCAGCGCGGCTACGTGCTGATCATTCACGGCGGGGGGACGACCGCAGTTGCGCAGCCCGTGGACACGGACTTGAACCAGCACGTGAAGCGCCGGTACATTGCCCTCGAGACCAAAGCGCTGGTGCAGCAAATGGCGTTGGGGAAGCACGTGCCGCAGTTGCGGCGTTCCGATTGCGCCGACTTGATGCTGTCAGTGTTGGAGAATGTGCAGTTGCACTTGGACGCCGCGAAAGGTTTCCTGAAAGTGGGAATTCGAGCGCCCTTCGACAAGTCAGGAGATCTCGAGATTTGCCGAGAGGCGGCGGAACTCTGGGAAGCAGGGGGGCTGCGAGCAAAAGTGGACACCGCAGTCGCGGAGGTGAGGGAAGAATGCGAGCAGAAACGTTTGAAATGGTCCTACAATGACGTGCTGCGTCTCATACACGAATACGAGAAACACGACGCCACAGATTCCGTGTTGGAGAAGCTCGGCGACGAAGCGCTAGGCCAGGAGCCAGGCCACGAGGAGGGCGATGAGGAGGGCGGGGAGGAGGAGGAGGAGGAGGTGCACGAGGAGCACGAGGAGGACGAAGAGCAAGAGGAGGCCTCGTGGGCCGAGGCTCTTGCGGAACAGTGCGATGCCGCAGTTGCGGCACCTGGGCCTCAAGGATCCTCGGTATCCATGGACTGCGTGGTCGACGCAGAGGCGGCCGAGCAGGTGGCAGTGGCGACGTCCTTGGCAGAAACGCTCCGCGAGGCGGAAGATATGCTGCGCCAAGTGGGCATGGAGAAACTAGCGCAGGATTGCCGACAGCAACAACACAAACAAAAGAAGCGGTTGAGAGAGCTGGCGCGGGAGGACAACGAGGTCCTACGAGCGTTGACTGCCCAGCGAGACCACGAAGCCGCAGTGGTGGCGAAAAAGCGGCGCCTGGCTCTGGAAGCGAACGACAGGACGAAGGCGTTGCACGATCTCAAGAAGCAGATTCGAGAGGCCGAGGCCGCCTTGAGGGCAAAGAAGGAGGCCGCAGTTGCGGTGGAAACGGCTTTGGCTAACAAACACGCCCTAGCGCAGTGGAATCCCGAGGAGTTCAAGATCAAGAAAAACAGGATGGCAGCTCTGGATCGCCTGGCTCGCGGAAAAGGCGTCCTCTCAGACGAGCAGAGGGGGGAGTGGGCATGGTTCAAGACGCATTGGGACGAGGAGATGTGCAAGCAGCACAAGGAGCAATGGCCGCTCACGTTTGCTGGGTGGCTGCAAAAAGTCGCGAACGACGCGGCGTCTGGGAACCGTTCGGCGCTGTCGCAGTTCGTGCATTCGGAAACAGTGAGAACCCTGGGAGGGCAAATGGCGCTGGTAATCCCAGCCCTAGCGTGATGCAGGCCGCAGTTGCGGACCCACAGGAAGTCCAGAGGGAAGTTGTTTTTCCAAGCGGCTCCCGCGCGGGCAGGAGATGAGGCAAAACCGCAGTTGCGGTCTTCCTGCTGCTGTGAAAATAATCCTTTCACAGTCCCTTGCAATCGTCGCCCTCCTTCTGCTTCTCCGCCAGTCCATTTGTTGTTCTTTCGGTTCCTTTGAGTCCTCGCCCTCCTTCTGCCACTCCTCGAATCCTCTTTGTCTCCTCCCTCCATCCGACCCCATGCCCATTCACGATCCATTTCCGTAGCCACCGTGGCTCGAGGTGGCGCACGCGAAGACGCAAGCATGTGGCCGCCCGCGCGCCCGAGCGCATCCTCAGGGAGTATGGACCGTGGACTTCGATTCGCCAGAACGGTGTTCATCCACAACGCTGAGGAGGAGGAGGGAGGCAAAGACGAGGAAGCCGCAGTTGCGGATGATGACGACGACCAGCGGACGCAAGATGGCGACAGCACCGTCGCGTCCTCGGCTGCCTCCGCTGACGAGGCTGAGTCCCGGGGAGGTGCGGGAGCCGCAGTTGCGGCAGCACATGACTCCTACATGCCGAGAGTGTTGTCGTCGCGGAGAACCTGGAAACGGGTGCCCATCATCGAGACAAGCAATCTGTCGGAAAAACAAAGAGCTCTTGTCGACGCATGGGAGGAGAAAACGGAGTTCGAAGCGGGACGGGTCGGCTTCTACGTGGCCAACTTCGGAGGGACTGCAGCTAGACCCACGCAACGCGCGGACGAGTGGGCGCAGCTCCGCGCGAACCCTGCCCAGATCATCGCCCTCTGCGAGTGCGACGACGAGACCTGCGCGGTACTCAGTGGGGAGCACGACGCGAGGGACAGTGCAGCCGCAGTTGCGGACGATAGGTTTCGGAGTCGGACTCAATACAACTACCTGTGCGTTAAGGGCGGCGAGCCATCAGGGACCCTCCTTGTTGGCATGAGGGACCGCAGTGGCGGCCACATTGAACACGTAGACTTTGCGAGACTCTTCCACAAGCAGGAGAAGTCCAAAACGAAGAAGAAGAAGAAACAGTCCGCAGTTGCGGAGGCTCCTGCGCCAAAGCTGCACAACAAGTACTCCAGGGCGATGGTGGTGCGCGTCCACCTGGACCAGGCCGTGCCCCATTTGGGGGGCTCCTTCAACGTCATGGCGGTGCACGTCCACCACAGCTTGGCCAACCAAGACTGGGGCGTCACGAAGCTCCATGAGTTCTACAACTGGTTCGTCGCCTACGTCAGGGAATGGGACGTGAAGGTCTGCATGGGGGACTTCAACATGTGCATGTTCCAGCTTGTGTCCTGGTGCCGCAATTGCGGCCTGACTGTGGACGTCGCCGCGTGGACCCCCTGGAAGACAGCAGGCGGCCAGCCCAGGGCAGACAGCATGGCGATTTTGTTCATAAACTGTCCTGGGCAGTACAAGCTTCACCATGGCCTGAGTGTTCTGCACGACCGTGAGGGCGGATTCTTGACGACCCAGCATGATCCGTCTTTCCCTGTCTTCGACTACACGAATGGCCCTGGGAAGATGCTTCAGACTTACGTGCCCAAGGCTGAGCCCGTTGAAAACAAGATGCGCGCCTTCCTGACGCCATCTGGCGAATCCTTGACCGCAGATGCGGAGTTCGAGCAAAGGATGGCGCGCAGGGAACGCGACGATTGGGTGCGCTATCCCTTCAGAGTGAAGCAGGGCAACCTCGACGACAAGATATGGCATGGCGCCTTCGGCAGGGCGAGGCACGGAGCGCACTTCCCTCTGGTGGCTTTCACGCACAATACGTGCCGCAGGTCACCTGAAAGACTCGCCGCGAGGTTGGAACGCAGGAAGGGCGGCAGGAAGGGCGGCAAGAAGGGCGGCAAGAAGGGCAGCTACGCGGACACCGCAGTTGCGGGGAAGGGCGTCCGACCCCAGATGGGAACCGCAGTTGCGGGGAGAGACGCTGGGGCTGAGCGAGCTGGGAACACGCCACCGCCGCAAGCTGCCAACGGCGACGATGCGACCCCTTCTTGTGCCGCAGTGGCGGCTGGGTCCTGGGACGCCAGCGGCAGCGGCGCATGGGAGGCGCGCAGTCCCGCCACGAGATGGCAGGGCTGGTCCTGGTGGGACTGGAGCTCGAGCGAATGGGGCGCTGATGGCGCGCAGTGGTGGCCCTCTGATCATGCCGCAGTTGCGGACAATGCCCCTGAGGGCTCGCCTCCTCAGCGTGAAGTCGAGTGGGGCTCGAGCGGGCGACCTGCCGAGCGCCCTCCGTGGAGCTTCGAGGCGCAGCGTTGGTGATGGCCGCAGTTGCGGGCAAGTGGAGCATGATGTTGATTGCCGCAGTTGCGGACAGTGTACGCTGGAAAAATCATCATCATCATCAATCATAATCATCATCATATCATCATATCATACGTTCAAAGCAGTGCCGGGGCACTGCTTTGAACGCGTTCAAAGCAGTGCCGGGGCACTGCTTTCGATCGTCGCCTCGTCGCCGTTATAAGGGCTTTCGGATTATGTGTTGGGCATGTTTTGGTATCTTTTTCTACTGTTCGTCCAGAATCCCCCTGTAGGGGGACATGCCCGACCTCACGCGAACGGCCGTTCTCGCGAGTCGTGAGCAGACGTGCTCCGAGAGGCACTTCCAGCTCGACGCCGGCGACCAGGGCGGCCAGGGCGCGCTCGAGCTGCGGGAGGGGGGCGCGGCCACCTCCGCGGGGGACGGCGCGGGGCACGTCCTGGTGAGCCTGGGCAGCGGCGAGCCCGTGAGGCTGCCGTCGCCGTGCCTCCCGAGGCCTGGAGCCACCATAAGTCCTCCTTCTGCTCATCCTCCTCCCTCCCTCCTCCTCCCTCCTCCTCCTCCTCCTCCTCCCTCCTCCCTCCTCCTCCCTCCCTCCTCCTCCTCCTCCTCCTCCTCCTCCCTCCCTCCTCCTCCTCCTCCTCCTCCCCCTCCTCCTCCTCCTCCTCCTCCTCCCCTCCCCCTCCCCCCTCTTCCTCCCTATCCTCCTCCTCCTCCTCCTTCTCCTCCTCCTCCTCCTCAGCAGCAGCAGCAGCATCAGCATCAGCATCAGCATCAGCATCATCATCATCATCATCATCATCATCATCATCATCATCATCATCATCATCATCATCATGACGATCACGATCAGCATTATCATCATCCGCGTCAACATCAACCTCAACCTCAACATCAACACTATCAGCATACTCGGCAGCATCATGACCATCTTCATCACCATCACCACCATCTTCAGCATCATCATCATCATGATCATCAGCAGCAGCCGCATCAGCATTATCATCATCAGCAGCATCATCATTGTCATCATCAGCATCATCCTTATCAGTTTCAAACAGCATCACCAACATCATTGATGGGGGCCGTGTGTACCGCGGTGTGTTTCATACCCAGCTTTATCATCATCATCATCATCATCATCATCATCATCATCATCATCATCATCATCATCATCATCATCATCATCATCATTATCATCATCATCGTCATCATCATCCTCATCAGCACCACCATCATCGTAATCGCCACCATCAACATGAGCATCAACATCAACAACCCCAACATCATCGCCATCCATATAGTCTCATCATCGGATCCTCCTCATCACCAGCATCATCAACTCCATCAGCAATATCAGCAATATCATCGACATCATCAGCAACATCATCATCAACATCATCATCGTCATCATCATCATCATCATCATCAGCACCATCATCATCATCAACGACATCATCATCATCATTTACCGCTGTCGCTATCGGCCTCGGAGTTCGCTTCAAAAGCTATCGCCCCTGGGAGGGGGTCAAGCCGAAAATAGGACAACTTACAACCAACTGGGACTGATTCCAACCATGTCCGTACCAATCCCAGACAAGTTGTACCAGTTTCAACCACGTCGGAAGTTTATCAGAGGTTCCTCAGAGGTTGCTGAAGGTTTTCTCCGAGGTTCCTCACAGGATCATTACGGGTTCCCCTGGGATCCCTGAGGATTCCGAAGGAATTCTTTGTGATTCCTGCGGGTTCCTAAGAAATTCTTCGCGATGCCTGGGAATTTCTTAGGATTTCCTCAGACATTCCATTTGATTCCATGGGAATCTCTAGGGAGTGTCGAAGGAATGCCTGGGGATTCCGGATGGTTTCCAGATGGAGTCTTGGCGGGGTCTTGATGGATTGTTGGTGTACTCCTGATCGTTTCTGATGGTTTCCCGCGGAGCCCTCCGGATCCCTGATGGATTCCATTATGGGCTCCTGAGGATTCCTAATGAGTTCTTAATGGATTCCTGATCGATTCCTGAAGAGAAGGAGGATGAGGAGGAGGAGGAGGAGGAGGGTGAAATTGAGGTGGAGGGGAGGACGGTGTACAGGAAATATGCCGATGAGGAAGAGGACGTGGAGGAGACGTGGGAGGAGGAGGAGGAGGAAGAGGAGTAGAAGCAGGATTGGTGATATTGCTTCGAGGTGGTCACGGCTGCGGCACCATAGTCTCGCACGGCCCACGATGTGTTACACTACGGTGCACAACCTGCTGCTTGGGGCCACCTGCGGCGTCTTTCTTCTCTTGAGCCCGTAGCGCTCCGCGGGCGCCAATGCGGACCTGCCCAGCCCCAGCGGATGGAAGTTTGCGGGTCGCGCGGGTCGGGTAGGTGGGTCGGGCGGGTCGGGCAGCGGAAGTTGTGCCGGCAGGGCGGCTGCTGAATAGATTTGGCGGACTGAGAGGCTTGTCTGCGCCCGAGCGCCAGCGCAACCATCGGACGAGTCGTTCGGCGCCCGCCTCTTTCCCTGCGGGCGCGGGATTCTCCAAGCCCCCGAGGGCAGCGCGCCCCGCGGCAACGTTCCAGATTCGGGGGGTCGGAAGCCCCCCGTGCCCATGGCGAGGGAGTGGGGCCAGACGGGTCACCTTGCCTCCCCGCTGCCGCCGCCGAGTCGTTCGACCCCCGCCCGCTTTCCTGCGGGCGCGGGGGTTCTTCGAGCCCCCGACGGCGACGCGTCCAGAAGGAAGCGCCACGTGCGGTCGGGAGTTCAGTGGGCCCCCGGAGCCCTTGGGAGGGGGGCCCAACGTGCGACCTTGCCCCCCGCCGCAGCCGCCGAGTCGTTCGGGCCCCGCTTCCCGCGGGCGCGGGGTGCTTCAAGCCTGCGAGGGCGGCGCTCTCCACGCAGCGCTGCGTGCCCTCGGAAGCCCCGGGGGGGGGGGGGCCCGAACCCGCGGGGAGGCATCCCCGGGGCCGAAGGAGTCACCTCCCTCCCCGCGGCCGCCGCCGAGCCGCTCGGCGCCCGCTTCCTTTCCTGCGGGCGCGGGTTCCCCCGAGCCCCGCTGCCCGCTCGTCCGCGCGCGTGCCTCCCGCCACGCTCTTCGAGCCCCCCTTCGGACCCCCCCCTTTCGGTTCCAGAGCGTTCCGGAGCGCTCTCAGAGCGTTCCGGAACGCTCTGGAGCGGCCGCGGCGCCCGATACATCCTCCAAACCCGCCGATTCTCAGAGATTTCGAGTTATCCCGATCCGATTTTGTATCGATCTTCGCGTCGTTTTATTCGGCCGCCCCCCCCCCTCCGTGCCTCGCAGACCCGCCCGCCCTCCCCTGGCCCCGAGGCCCCCGCCGGGCGCCTTCGTGGACCTGCCGCAGCTCCGGCGGCTCTCGGCCGCCATTCGGAGGCGGGCCCCCGCCGAGACAGCGGTGGCCCCTCGGCTGGCATGCTCCGCCTGCCTTGGGGAGCCTCCTGGAAGCTTGGCGTCGGGCGTGTCCGTCCACAGGAGGACTATCGCAGGCCTAGAGATTGACACCAACACCAATATCGGCGGTGTGCATCCACCGATGGAAGGAGAATCCGATATCGGTGATGGTGGTAATATTCTGGCTTCCAAGGTGACCGAAATATTACCACCAACACCGAAATCTAGGATCATCTTCCCCCTGTGGAGGCAAACCCCTGTATTGGTGTTGGTGCCCATTTCCAGGCTTCCAAGACTACAGTCAACGCGCATAGTAAGGACAAACGACTTTTTCTAGGGTGCCCTTGGGTCCTTGCCTGCCTCTGCCTCTGCGGCCCGTCCCAAGGGTACCCTTGCGTCCCTGGGGGTTTGGCCGCCTGCCGCCCAGAATACTTCGACTTCGGCCTCCAAGGGTCTTGCGTCCTTACCACGCGTCCTCACTATACGGTTTCACTGTACCCCGAAATAGTAAAACATTGTTTTGGGGCGATCTTTCTGTTATCTTATGTTTGTTGGGGTCTATGGTTGACATTTTTTGATTTCTTTCACAATCCGCCTGTAGGGGGACATGCCCGACAAAAGCCTTCGGAGCCTCCTGGAAGCTGCTTTTCTCGTCCACGGAGATCCTGGCGTCGCACTCGTTCCGCAACGGGCGACGTTCTGCCCTGCTTCGGGCCCCCGGTGCCATCACGGTTCGGTCGGGCTCGAGAGGTGTCGCAGACAGCTTGGGTCTCGGGCTTCGGTCGTGATTTCTTCGCGGTGCTGCACTCTTGCCCGCAGCGTCGGGTCGCACGGTTTTTGTGGTGTCTCCTGGAGATTTCTCGTCGCAAGTGGCGCGCAAGTGAGTCCCGACTTGCGTGAAGCCCAGGTTCCCTCTCTGGTCTGACCGCGCGCCTCCCCCATCCAGGCAAACAAACTTGCCAGAGCCCACAGACAAGCTGGCGGGACAGAGCCGCCGATGTCCAGGAGGCCGGACGGCACGACTTTGTCCTGCCGTGGACCCCCAGAGGTACGGACATTCTGCAGGTGCCCATACCTCCCAGACCCCCGACGTCATGGTCTGTCATGACGTCCACCCCAGAGGTCTCGACCCATTCCCCGGAACCGGCTTTGCATCCTGAGTCGTCTCTTGACGGCCCTGGGGCCTGGCGAGGGCCCCCGGAGGCCGAACATAGCGCAACACCTCCTGTCAGGAATTTGTCATGACCGCAGGGGGACCTGGGCTCTGGGAGTCCACGGCAGGACGCAGTCATGAACTCCGTGGCGGGCGCTGTTTGGCCATACCGTTCGGGAAGCGGCATCCTTGCAAGATGGTCCTGCTGCATGTTCTGGCCGGCCTCGCGTCTCCGAGGAGAGGGCAGCGTAGTTGGAGGTACTTTATTCGTGAATCTCATTGGTTTTAGGGTTTTAAAATGGTTGCAGCCACGCAGAGGGCGTGGCGGCGACCAAACATTTTGAAAACCAATTCTTTCCACTACTGAGGTATGCCCGTGCGCGTCCCGCTCGTAGGTGTCCATGCCTCTCGGGGTCCACGGCGGGACAAAGTCATGATGCCTCGGGGGAGTTCTCGGGGAAGTTCTCCCCGGGGGGGCCGGCGCTTGACGGGCCCCCTGGGCCTGGCGCGGGCAGCTCCCATGCAGAGGCGTGAAGCATGGAAATCCGCCGCGTTGTTTGCTGTTTCATTCCGCGGCCCTGGGGCCCAGACCCCCTCGCGTTGTGAGCAAAATCACGACGGGAGGTTCTTCATTATCCTCTGCCTCCCGGGGGCCCCTTTTAGGCCTCGGGATCGACACACAACGATGCAGGATGAAGAACTGGTCCCGAGGAAGGGGTCCAGACCTCGGGGGGTCGACGCCGTGAAAAAAAACACGACGTCGGGGGTCTTGGCTCCCCGGGGGGGCTCCTCCTGGAGCCGCCCTCGATGGCCCTGCGGCGGTCGGACAATTGGACTCCTGGCCCCCCTCCACCTCCTCCTGCTCCTCCTCCTCCTCCTCCTCCTCCTCCTCCTGGAGCCGCCCTTCCGTCTTTTCCTCAAGAGTTGCCAATCGCGCGCTCTTGTGCCCACGCGCCCTTCTGGCTGCTCGGCTCAGTGGTGGTGGTGGTCCGGCCTCCAGGAGAGGCGCCCCGATTGCACGAGTCGCGCCGTCTGGGATCCGGGCCGCTGTCTCGGCTGGCCCTCCTCCGAGCCCTCGCGCAAGACCTCGCGGTTGGCCACGACTGCGTCCTCGCGGGCCCCCCCGGCTGCGGGAAGTCGGCGCTGGCCCGCCGGTTGGCTGCGCTGCTCGGGTACGGCGCGCCCGGCGGCAGCGGCATCGAGTTTTTCTTCCTGTACGAGGATCTTCTCATGGAAGTGCCATCTGAACTCATTCAACCACCGTGTCAACAAGTCGCCACCCTGGGCCGTCGCCTCGTTTTCGCCTCTCTGGGGCTTCCGGGGTGGCCCTCGTCACCACGGCGCTGGGTTCGCCTTGGAATTGCAGCCAGAACGCAGCCCAGGACAGGTCCTGTCATTACGAGGGCCCTCATAGAACGGTTCCCGAATTCATTCAAAGTTCCAGCCTGGAAAGCATCTGTGACCTTATGATGGGCATCGCCTGATCTCGATGTCGATCGTAGGGGCTATCTCAGAATGAACGAGCAAGCCATACTTCTCTGGGCGCGTGGGCGAAGCATGTGCAAGCAACGCTCGGCGCGGGATCAAAGAACAACCGCGGGCAGCAGGAGTAAGAAGGAGAAGGGCAAGGAGGAAGGATATTGCTGTGCGTGGTACTGCACGTGCTTCCTGCAGGGTCGACGGGGCGCGAAAAGCGAGGAAGTATGATACATGTGGTCGTTTGCCCCTTCAGGGCGTGAGACCGCGTCCTCATAGAAAGGCCTTTTGAATCCATCCAAACACCGTGTCAAAAAGTCCCACCTTGGACTCGTTTTCGCTCTGGTGGGGCCTCCTGGGAGGCCCTCGTCACCACGGCTGGGTTCGCCTCGAAATTGTGGTCAGGAAGCATTCTGGGAGAGGTCCAGCCCAGGGAGTAGCGTCATCGGGAACCCTGAAAGGTCTGTAGACCCCCGAATAGGGGGTACGTAATTATTTCTTCGGCGGCCTATGTAAGGACCGGGGTCCCACCAATAGGGGGTAACTAATCACTTTTTCCCGCGGCATCCGTCGCGCAACAACGACGACGACAGCTACGACTGAGGAGGAGGAGTCGTAGGAGGAGGAGGAGGAGGAGGAGGAGGAGGAGGAGGAGGAGGAGGAGGAGGAGGAGGTTTTGAGACCAGTCCTATTCACCGCGGAGAGAAGAGGGGGGCGGGGGGCCAAAACTAAAGACCTTTAGCGGTTATTGCTTCGTCTTTGCTTCCCCAGGTCCGAGGCGGGGGCTTAGGGTGCCTCGGCAGGCGGTGGATGTGGACCCAGACCCCCTCGGGCTGTGAAAACGCATGACGGATGCCTGGCCGTTTTGGACCTCTGGGGGCCTTCGCTGGGCCCGATAACCGCAAAAAACAACCCAGGGTGAAACACAGGCCTTCGAAGGGTTCAGGGGTTCCAGACATGATGGGCCTGTTCTCCACCACCACCACCATAAAGATGGAGGGGGAAGGAGGTGAAGGACGAGGAGGAGGAGGAGGAGGAGGAGGAGGAGGAGGAGGAGGACGAGGACGAGGAGGAGGAGGAGGAGGAGGAGGAGGAGGAGGAGGAGGAGGAGGAGGAGGAGCCCCTACCTCTCCAACTTCTGGTGTCGGTGGCAGGAACGCAGGCCCCTCGAGACATTTTCGGGTTCCGGGGCGCCCTCGCCGGGCCCATAGCGCCGCCCGGCCCAGGGAAGGAGTCGGGGCCTCGTGGGGGTCCCGCTCACCACGAAGGATTGCAAAAAACCGAAGGGTTGCAAAAAGCCAAGGATTGCAAAAAACCCTTCGTTCAAGGGTTTTTTGCAATCCTAGGTTTTTTGCAATCCTTCGACCAAGGCTTTTTGCAATCCTTCGTTCAAGGGTGGAACGATCTTCGCGAGCCTCGCGAGGCGGGGAATCTTACAGGCGATCGCAGACCTGGATCAAAAGGGGGCGTGGATGAGCGGCGGGTCCCGTTTCCGTGGGAAGTCGCGGATTTCTGCCGCCGAGCGAGGCGGCAGCGGCCGCATTTTGGGGAGGGCGCCTCCCCCGATCCGTGGATTGGGCGACCGCGCGCCGGATCCATGGACCGCTACTCCATGTTTGCGCGCCCTTTGAATCGAATGTGGACATACGTGACCCCCCCGTGGGCCCGAGAACAGACGGCGGCGCCCTGCCTGAGGGGGTACCGCGGGAGCCACGTTTCTCAGTCCGTCGGAGGGCGGGATTTCTTACCCGTCATCTGGGAGCACACATCGGGAGCGTGACAGCGAAGCGCTAGCGAGCAGAGCTGAGCGGCTAGCAGGAGTCCTGGACTTGGCAAGCGCTTTGACGCGTCGTGGAACGGCCCTCTGAGCTGCCTGAGAAAAGTCATACGCTCTTATCGCACGTGTCCATTGCATGTCCATGCCTGCCGAGGCCCCCGAAGGTCGATCGATCCTTCAGGCGAGCACCCCGACAACCGCCGACGTGTTTTGTCAATTCGCGGCCCCAGAGGTCCCGACCCTTTCCCCAGGGAGGGCTGTCGTCCCTGATCGGGTTTTGACGGTCCTCGGGCCCGAAAGTGGGCGCCAGAGGCCGAACCACGACTGAAAACGGAAACGTCGGTGTCGATCTTGGTCACAGTGCATTTTTGGTCGCCGTCGATTCGTGGCTTCTCATCGCGGATCTGCAACGGCCGGCATGGACCATGACCAAGATCTGCGGGGCTCAAGAGACTGGGGTCAATGCAATCGGGGGTCAGCCAGAGCGCCCGATCTTGCAGGATCCTGCTGGGCCAGGGTCGCACTGATCCGGGCTTGGGCGCAGGATCGTGCAGGATCTTGCAGGATCCTTCGCGCTGACCCGGGCTTGGGTGCAGGATCTTGCGGGCTCTCGCAGGACTCTGCAAGTCTTGACTGACGCGGGTCTGGATGGACCCGGGTCAGAAGATCCCCGAGATCGATCAGGAGGAGACAAAACACACATACACAATTCATCGTCGATGCCCCCGAAAATACGGGAAACGATGGGCAGTGGGGGGGAAAGACAGGAACCCAGGAAATGTGGGGAAATGTGGGGGAATCCTTTTATTTGTGTGTGCTTACTTTTGTTCAGCGAGCGAAGAACGGTATAACATAAACTTTTTCGCCGTCGGGGACACCTGCCCCTGGGCGGCTGGAAAGTTTATACCCCTACGGTGCCACCGTAAGGGTATAAACTTTCCAGCCGCCCAGGGGCAGGTGTCCCCGACAGCGAAAAAGTTTATTTTATATCGTTCTTCACCCGTTACTGTGTGTCCCGGGGCCCCTTCAATCTGCCTTGACAAGATCCCGCGGCATTTTGGCCCTGGTCCTGGCCCTCGAGCGTGGCCCCCCAGTCGAGCGCGCCGAGCCGGGCGCAGGGGCGCTGCTCGGCGCTCGGCCTGTCTGGGAGGAGGGCGAGGAGTCCCAGAGGAGGAGGAGGAGGAGGAGGGGGAGGAGGAGGGGGAGGAGGAGGAGGAGGAGGAGGAGGAGGAGGAGGAGAGGAGGGGGGGGGAGGAGGAGGAGGAGGGGGAGGAGGAGGAGGAGGAGGAGGAGGAGGAGGAGGAGGAGGAGGAGGAGGAGGAGGAGGAGGAGGAGGAGGAGGAGGAGGAGGAGGAGAGGAGGGAGGAGGAGGAGGAGGAGGGGGAGGAGGAGGAGGAGGAGGGGTCCTGGTCGCGCGCGCCGAGCCGGGCGCGGGCCTCCAGCACTCCAGCAGGGCCGCTGGTGCCTGCCACGAGCTCGAGCCGCCCTGCGGGTCGGCTACGCGCAAGAGGTCGCTGGGGGGGACCCTTTGGCGCGGGCTCACAGGGACCCTCGGGGGCCCCCCAAGCAGTAAGTCGGGCCAGTCCCTCTACAGGAGTGCTAGCGCAAGAATAGTGAACACATCGTCTGGGGACGATGGTTTGACCAGCTTTTCGGCCATTTGGGAGCATTTGGGGGGATGCTTCTTACATGTTTCATCCGAGATCCCCCTGTAGGGGGACATGCCCGACCGAACCCAAGCACTGACATGCACGCTTGCATTTGCCTGCCCCCACACGCGGCCTCCTAACCCCGCGCACCACAGGTCACTCTTGCCCAGGGCCACTCTTGCGTGCATTCGATCTGGGAGGAGAGCATCTGAGCCTCACGTATAGATTTGTGCAATCGTGGGGGAAGTGCCGGGACTGCCAACGAGACGTGCTCCGACCCCCGAGGTCATGATTTTCTCATGACGCCGACCCGCAGAGTTCTCGACTCATTCCCCGGGGCCGGTTTCTCATCCCGAGTCGTTCTTTTCCCCCAGGCCCGGTAAGGTCCCCCAGAGGCCGCGCGAAAGACTTCCCGTCGTGATTCATTCATGACCCGAAAGGGTCTGGATTAAGGGAACGAAGGATGACATAAGCATACTCTGACGTCGGTGCGAATTTTTCGGATCGGCGTTGGACCCCCCTCCCTGGCGCGCGGAGCGAAGCAGGGGCGGCACCGGAGGCGCCGGCAGGAGAATCCCAGGCGCCGATCCGAGAAACCCGCGCGGAGGCTCCGAGTTCTTATGCTCATGTCGCTGTTCGATCCCCCGCGTCGCGATTGAGTCATGGCTTCCTGGCCCGAGGGGGTCCGGATGAGAACATCCCCGCGCCGCCGAGGAGATGTCCTCGCGGGACCTGCTGCAGCGGCGGACCACGGACGCCGGGGGCCGCACGTCCTGGGTGGACTCGCCCCTGGTGCGCGCGGCGCGCAGCGGTGCCGTCTGCATACTGGACGGCATGCACCGCCTGCGCGGCGACCGGGCGGGGCTGCTGGGGATGGGTTCGGGGACTGCTATATAAAGGGGATAGGGGGGGTCATCGGTGGATGCCAATCTGGATTCTATCTGGCCCAACCTGGCTGACAAGGTGGTGACGGATGCCCCAAGTGGAGTAGGGGGTCAGTGATCCGGGCGATTCGGGATTCGCCCGCTCAGCGAAGTCATCGAACCCCCCTAAGCCGAATGGGGCCAATGTCCCATGTATAAGCTAGGCAAGGCCAGATATAACCAACCTCGGCATCCACGGATAGCCACCAATCCCCTTGACAGCCGCCGCTCCCATCCCAGCACCGCTTGCCCTTGAGATCCAGGCGTCGCAACTGATTTGCACCAGGCGTGTTCGCCCAGCTTCGGGCCCCTGGACCATCGCGGACCGATCCGATGGCGCAGAAAGACAGGGTCTAGGGTTCTGGACGTGATTTTTCAGGATGATGTTTCCCGCGACGTCGGATCTCAGGCGATTTTTGAATCAATGGCGCCTACGCCATTGATTTAAAATGGCGCCTACGCCATTGATTCAAAATTGATTTTCTCAGCGTATGCGATTTCGAATCAATGGCGCCTACGCCAGGTCTGTAGGCTGAAGGCAACAGGACATGGAAACGCGCCCCGTTGGCCCCAGCACTTCAGGGTTGATGGGGAAGCGGTGGGGCCTTCGCAAGAGTGGGCGTTGATTTCGCAACAGTTGGCAGTCCCTTCTGGCGCAGTCGTCCGTCAACTTTGCGATGCGGGGTGTCGGGGGAGCTTTTTCGGTACTTCGACTCATGAGCGCTTGTTTCGCGAATGGTAGTTGGACCGGGATAGATCGTTCCAGAGCGTTCCAGAGCGCTCTCAGCACGTTCTGTGGCGCTCGTCAACGGCCGCGGCGCCCGATGCAGCCTCCAGAACCGTCAGGTCTCGGGGATCCCAGGGCCCCGATAGCATTGTTTTTCACGACGTGGACCCCAGAGGTCTGGAGCCCGTCCATGGGATTGGTGTTCCCTCCAGATTGTCTGTGGACGGCCCTGGGGGCCCTTCGTGGGGACCCGGAAGATCCTGGCCTGTTTCCCAGGGCCGGTCTGCAATCCCGCGGGTCGTGTTCGACGGTCCCGGTGCCTTGCGAAGGCCCCCAGAGACCGGAAACGGCCACCAACCTCCCGTCGTGTTTTTTTTCAGTATCGTTTAACCGATCCCCATCCCCATGCGCATCCCCTTCGAGACCTCCACCACATTACACCCCCAGTTGGGGATTCACCCCTCGAAACCCGAAGAATACGGCCTATATCTCCATCTAGGAGGGAAAATCGGCCAGTGGGGCCCAGCCCACGCTGGTGGGGATGGAGATCGGTTAAACGATATTCATTTTTTCTCACGACACACACATGTCTCGGTACAGAGCTGCCTGACCTCAGAGATCTTCGATGTGACGGGGCTCAAACATGTATATACCACCACCACCACCTCCCTCACCCCCTCACCCCTCTCCCAGGAGAGAAGAGCGGGATAGGAGGCTGGAGGAGGGCAGGGAGGAAAAAATGTGGTGGTGGTGGTGGTGGTGGTGGTGGTGGTGGTGGTGGTGGTGGTGGTGGTGGTGATGGTGTATATCCCTGGGGCCTGCAGATGTCTCCTGGTCCGATTCTGTCTGGGCCCCAGCTTCGTCTCAGGCGACGTGCTCTGCGCTCTGGCGCCCCTGCTGCAGGACCGGCAGGCGACCGGAGGGCGCCAACTACGCACCTGCACCGGTCCTGGCCAGGCCGATCCCGGGCGCAGGGTCTCGACGAACAAGAGGCTGCACAAGCAATAAACGTTCGCAGCTCCGCGCGGACTGCTTGGAGCGGCGCTGAGGCCCTTCTTGCGGCGCCCCTGGCGCGCCAGGGTCGGGGTCCAGCGCCGATCCAAGAACTCCGTGCGGAGTTCTGAACGTGCAGGTTTGTGCTTTTTATGCCCCGTGCAGCGCCCCCCAGGATGCCGGTCTTTGGCCGGTCGCGATCTGTATCGACCGATCGGCCTCCTCCAAATCGGTCGCGACCGAGTGCGGCCGATTCCAGAATCGGTCGCGACCGTTACGTTACGTTACGTTAGGGTCCGATCGAACAGCGTTCGGCCGCCATGCGGGGCACGGACTGAAGCTGGAAGGATGTGCGCTCAGACAGCCTTGCAAGAGAGAAGGGAAAGGACGGAGGAGGAGGATGAGGAGGAGGAGGAGGCAAACGCGAGCATTGCTCCAGAATCGGTCGCGACCGATTCCGAAGCAGAGCGGTCGCGACCGATGCCCGAGTGCGAGGCAGGATCGGTGGCGACCGGTCTCGTCGGTCGCGACGGGAACAACAACACACTCGGGCAGCCAGAGGTCGGGGGGCCGGGCGGGCGTGCTCGCCGGTCCTGGGCCCGGGCACGAGCCCGGCCAGGAGCGGTGCAGGTTCACGTCGGGCCCGTCCCTCCACAAGGGGGAATGTTCGAAATAATGTTGAAGCATAGTTTGGGGACGCTGTTTGGTCGATTTGTGAGTTATTTTGGTGTATTGCTTCGATCTTGTAAATGTTTCGCCCGCAATCCACCTGTAGGCGGACAGGCCCGAGCTAAGGTTACGTCGGGCCTGTCCTTCTACAGGGGGAGTATTCAAACAATAGTCAAACAATAGTCCTAAGTGTAGTGCATTGCTTCTCGTCGCTCGGACGTGTGGATGTGTTCTCGGCGAGGACCGTCGAGGAGCATCCTGGATCACGTTGGCAACAAGAAGCACGCGCGAAACCGATGACTATCATTACGGGGGACAGACGTCCGAGCGATGGCAAGATGTTGGCCCCCCGGATGGGGTCGGAGCATCGCGGCGCATCGCCGATGCCTCATCGATACGGCTCGATGCGAGGCCCGATCCTCGCCACGCCGGCGGCGGCGATGCATCGGCGACGTCGCCGATGCATCGGCGGTGCACTGGCGATGCACCAGCGGGGCGGCGCGTTCCTCCGAACCCGTCTGCTCGTAACCCATGTGGGAGGCCTCCGCCACAGCTGGTGCCCTCCACCCAGGCGAGCCTCTCCGTGGCGAACGACCCTCTGGGCGCCGAGGCGGAGCTGCTCTTGCGGCAGGACCGGTACGAGGCCCTGCGGCACCGCCTGAGCGACGCGGGGAGCTACGACGAGCAGTCCAACTGCCGCGTCGCCCGCATCCTGGAGGAAGAGAGGCGACATAAACATAAGCATCAAACAGCCAAAGCATAAACTTCCAATGGAGGTCCGCGCGGGTTTCTTGGATCGGCGCTTGGGCCCCCTGGCGGCGACTCCGGCGCCGCCCCTCGCGCGCCCGCGCGACAGGGAGGAGGGTCCAGCGCCGATCCGAGAAATCCGCAGCTCCGAGAATGTACACGTCTTGGCATCGCGCGGACGCGTGCGTTTGTTCTCGGCGAGGGCCGCCGAGGAGCGTCTCGGATCATCTCGCGAAAAAGAACAACGCGCTCGAGACCGAGAGACGCGCGGGGAATGGATGCCTGAGGAGCGATGGCGAGAGGTGGGGGCGTTTGTTGGGGACTGCAGCCAGGAGGCTTCAGACCCTGGAGGGTTCCTCGTCCGGTGAGGGCGGCGGTGGGGCCCGTGGCCGTGTCCACGGCCCGTGCTCCTCCGGCTTCCAGACCCTGGACTCCTCGTGCCTTCCGGGCGGGCCTCCTGATGTCAAGGGCGTATAAGAAGCGCCCCTACCCTGAATTACGGGGCGCTGTGCGCTGAGCCTCCTCCTGGCTCACAGGGCAAGCCCTGCGTAGCGCGCGCGCCGCGCGGGGTTGCCTGCCGGCTCTCTGGCCTGTGGGAGCTCCCAGGAGGTTCACAGACCACGCACTTGTTACCCAGGGCAGGGGCGTTTTCTTCATCCCCTGATGATAACCGATGTTGGTGCCGTCTGCTTGCTCTCCAGCAATCCACCCCTCCTTCCGGGTGCTGGCGCTGGCGGAGCTCCCCACGGCTCGGGCGCCCTGGCTGACCGAGGAGCTCTCGACCTGCTTCTCGCACCACGCCTACCCAGAGCTCGAGCCGGGCGACGTCGTCCGCGTCCTCGCGTCCCTGTTCCCGAGGCCGGGCGTCGAAATCCCGTTGAAGGACAAGCAAGCTGCAACAAGCGTGAACCCCCGCTGCCCCTGGCCATACTATTGACAGTCGTTTCCGGAGAAGCGGTGCTGGAGACGATGTGAGCCCGACATCTCGAACGCAATATCTGCCAATGTCACGGCAAGGGGGTAGTTTGGGTCTTCCTCGTTCGGTCGCTCCTGTTGCATTTTTTCTTTACCCGTCCGAACCCTACACTCGCCGATTAACGATTTATGCAGCTCGTGGGGCGGCTGGGGTAGGGTTCGGAGTTCGCCGAATACACAGGCGAGGCCCGAACCCCACCCCCCGTCTCCCATCGATTCAGGATAATCGATTTCTGGTGGGGGCAGATGCTGCCGTGCGCTCACAGGACCCAAGGCAGGCCGATGTAGCAAACCAGTCATACATATCAGGACCTGGGTCGGACAAGATTTAAATGACTTGGTGTATCTGCCCTGCGCGTTAGTTCTGCGCAGTGGCTTACTCGCAGGAAGCTCTTCGAAGCGCTTGCCCAACAAAGGATCCAAGCAGGACGAGGGAGAATCGATTGCTCGTAGGGGGGTAGGGTCAGGATGTCGCCACCTACGGTGGGTTCGCGTCGGGTCGACCAGCTCTTGCGTTCAACGTTGAACGCCGCCGGCGACTCAGAATCGTCGACCCCAGAGGCCTCGACCCCTTCCCAGGGACCAGCTTTTCATCCTAAGTTCGGGGCTCAAGAGACGGGGGTCAATGCAAACGGGGATCAGAAAGGGCACCGGATCCTGCAGGATCCTGCGAAGACCTCCTCTGGCTGACCCGGCTTAGCGAGCCGCTCGTGGCCGCGAGGCGGCCGCGCATATTGGCTGACCCGGGTTTGCGAAGGCCTGCGCTGCAGTTTTTTGGTGTCCTGCTGACGTCTGATTGACCCTGGGTTAGCAGATCCCCGATGAGTCTCTTTTAGACGGTCCCGGGGCCAGGGAAGGGCCCGCGGAGGCCGAAAACAGCGCGCAATGCCCCGTCGATTCTTTTGCCATGCAGCGCGAGGGGGTCTGGCAGTTGTTGTTGCTCTCCAGCCTCCACCCTCCCTTCCAGAAGTCGGCACGCTGCGCACCTGCCGCAGCACCGTTGCATAGCATCAAACCCCGACGCGATAAGCCAGGCCTGTCCTGGCGCCCCCCGGCGGTGGTCCTTGCGGGCGTAACAAGGGGCCTGGCTTTTTGTTGAGGGCAGGCGCCTTGGACACTCCTTCGCGAAAACACCAGCGGCAATGTTGGCCATCCCTGTTACGGTTCTCTGTCCAAGCAAGCACGATGAAGACAGTTCTCTCCCCATTCTGTTTACAGTTCTCTGCCCATTCTTTTACAGTGCTCTGTCCAAGAATTGTCAGGAGTGGAAAAAAACACACAGACACAATTAATCGTCGATTCCCCAGAAAATGTGGGAAAATATGGGAAGTGGGGGGGAAGACAGGAACACAGAAGATATGGGAAAATATGGGGAATCATTTTATTTGTGTGTATTTATTTGTGTGTTTGTGGGCCCCTTCAAATTGTGCAGACGTGCCCCACATGGCCACCTGCGGTTTTTGCTGGCCTCGGGGCCGATCCACCGCCGCAGGCTGCAGGAGGCCGCGGCCCGCCGCCTCGTCGCGGCCTGCGCCCCGCCGGCCGCGACCGGCGCCGCGGCGCCGCCCGCCGTGGAGCCGCAGGATCGGGCCGGGCGAAAGGAGGGGATTGGGAGAGGGGGGGGGTACGAAATTTGCTGCATGCAGCTGGTTTCGGCCTCACCGAGGGGCCCGTTCCTTGATGTATAACTAGCCGCCTCCGGCGCCGGGAGGCGCCGGGAAAATCAGCTGCGTGAGCTGATTCTCAACCCCCCCCCTTTGCTATCCCCCCCTTTCGCCCGACCCGACAGGAGGCCGGGTCCGGAACGCAGCTGCGCGTGCTGATCCGGGTGGCGCGGCGGGCGGCGGCCGCGGAGGAGCGGAGGGACAGACGGCAGATCCCCAGGCGCCCCCTTTCTCGGCGACGGCGAAGGGTGAGGTTGCGTCGGGGTGTGGTTATTGCGATTGGCGCCGTTCCTGGGGATTCCAGCGTATGGAAGACATCAAGGCGGGGGCCTTTCGCCCTCTTCGGCCTCTAGAGAGGGCCTCGCCGGACCCCGGGAAGGGATCGGGACCTCCAGAGACCACGTATTGACAAAAACACGACGTCGGAGCTCTGGGGGTGTGGCCTGCGATCGGCGCCGCCGGGACTGGGGGGGCTCGACACTGTCCTCGTCGGGCCTCCTCGGGGAGCGGCGGAGAGCCCTGTCGGGGCCCCCGCCCGCCCCCCAGGGGGGCTTCCAGGGTGCCAGTCGCAAGCCGCACCCTCGGCAAGCCATGCCCTTCGGAGTCGCCGACCCTCGCGTTGCGGCAAAGGCACGGCGGGAAGTGTGTCTTTCTTTTCGGCCTTCGGGGGGGCCCTGACCAGGCCCCGGGACCGTCAAGCAACGACTCAGGACGCGACTCGGGTCCGGGGAAGGGGTCCAGACCTCTGGGGGTCGGCGCTGTGAAGAGAAATCGCGACGTCGGGGGTCTGACGACAGATCATGAAGGCCTCGTCGGAGCCGCTAGCCCGGGCACGATTGGCCGGCATGGGTGCACAGGGGGGATGAGCGCTCGTGCTCCAGTGCAGGGCGTGCGGAGATCTCTGGAAGCCCGGAGGCACGATCTCCGCCACGCAGGGGTTCAGTAGGCGGGTGACGTCGTCGGTGCTGAGGCCCTGATCTTCCAGAAGGGCTACATTAGGGGAACGAATATTGACATAACCATCAAAACTCGGAGGTCCGCGCGGGTTTCTCGGATCGGCGTTGGGCCACCCTGGCAGCGCCTCCGACGCCGCCCCTGGCGCGCTCCGCGCGCCAAGGAGGGGGATCCAGCGCCGATCCGAGAAATCCGCGCGGACCTCCGAGTTCCTATGTTTGTGCCATTCTTCGTTCCCCTAAGCATTCTGGAAGGTCAGGGTAGCACCCAAACCTTTGCGACCACCCGATTTCTGGAAGTGGAATTTCAAGGGTGGCCATGGGCTGGTGTTGTCGGATGGGAGGCCCCCCTCGAGGTTCGACAGCCCGCGCCCATACCCCGAGCGCTTGCATCGCCTTGCCCTTCCCCATTCTTCCTCCCTGTAGGTTTGAGCCTGTGTTGTTCCATCAAAGAATGCGCAAGCACAGACTTTCCCTGAGATCCAGGCGCTGCAAGTGTTTCACGCCTGACATTTCCGCCCTGTTTCGGTCTGGCCCTGGGACCATCACAGATCGAGCTGGTTCGAGAAATGCCGCAGAAACATGGGACCTAGTGCTTTGTTTGTTTCCACGACGTTGTATTTGTTTGCAACGTCGCATCTCCGGGTGTACACCTACACCGATCCAGGCAACGGACCATCCTCGGCCCAGGATGAGGTATACGTAGACGCCCTTCTGGCTTGGCCTCGAAGGCACATACACAGATTGTTTTGGCCAGGATTGGGAGGACAGATAACGAGGAGTTTCTCACGACGCAAGCATGTCGGGAGTTCCTCTCACAGGAAAGCACCGCTACTCCCCAGGTCGCTTCTGGGGTGCGTTCTGACCTTGATTTCGAGGCGAAGCCAGCCGTTGCGACGAGGGCTTCTCAGGAAGCCCCTAAGGGCGAACATGATGGCAGGGTAGGGGTGTATCGCGGCGCGCGGCGGCCGCGGAGGAGGCCGCGGTGGACTCGGAGCTTCTTGCGGGGATCCTGCAGCAGGCCGGCGTCACCAAAACATCCTCACATTTCGTTGTGCGTCTGCACCCCAGGGGCGACGCGCGCATGGAGGAGTCTTACAGTCTAGGCTCCGTGGCGAGCGCTCTCTGCGCATACCGCCCAGGGCACGATATACTGTAAGATTAGGGGAACAAGCAATGACATAATCATAAAACTCGGAGGTCCGCGCGGATTTCTCGGCAGGGGCGGCACCCGAGGCGCTGCCAGGAGGCCCCAGCGCCGATCCGAGGAACCCGCGCGGACCTCCGAGTTTTTATGTTCATGTCAGTGCTTGTTCCCCTATGATGTTCGAACCTACTCTAGCCTGGATCACCAGAAAGACTTTCGAGCACCAAAAAAGTACCGAAGCTCGAGGGTTTCCACGTGTCGGGTCGGGCCCTACACTGGACATTGTTTCGACACGGTTTCGACACCTTTCTGGGTGCTCGACATTTTTTCTGGGACGTGGTCCTGAAGCACGATGGGAACAGCATAACCCTAATGCGGTAAGATGTGTGTGCGACGTCTCCAGCACATGTCACCGCGCCGTTTCTGCCTCGGCGCGCGGCCTTAATTACAGTGCCGTTTTTAATACATGCTCCACGTGCGGATCATGTATTTAATTGCAGGGATTGGGTATTAAAAACAACGATGAGTTCATACCTCAATTTACTCATACATTAATCATGTACGAAAACTCTTATTTATTTTTTTCAAAAAAAAAACAGATGTATTCAAAAACTGCCCTGTACGTCTTGGGGAGGGCGCCACGGCCACACCATGGCGAACGCCGCCTCGCAGGCGCGGTGGGCGCTCCGTGGGGTTTGTCGCGTGGCGGCGCGTCTGACGGGTCTGTTTTCCACCACCACCATAAGTTGGAGGGGGGGAGGAGGAGGAGTTGGAGGAGGAGGGAGGAGGAGGAGGAGGAGGAGGAGGAGGAGGAGGAGGAGGAGGAGGAGGAGGAGGGAGGAGGAGAGAGGAGAGGAGGAGGAGGAGGAGGAGGAGGAGGAGGAGGAGGAGGAGGAGGAGGAGGAGGAGGAGGAGGACGGAGGGGGAGGAGGAGGAGGAGGAGGGTGGAGGAGGAAGAGGAGGAGGAGGGGGAGGAGGACCCCCTCCCCCTCTAACTTATGGTGGTGGTGGTGGAAACAGTCCTAGCAGCGTCTACTTGGGATGCGGGACGCAGGGTTTGCCGAAGGTTTTTGCCGTGGTGTCGGCGTCGTCCACCTGGGCGCATCGGGAGCAGCCGGC